TAACCTCAGACTAAACTCTGAATAACCTCAGACTAAACTCTGACTAAACTCAGACTAATCTCAGATTAACCTCAGACTAACCTCAGACTAATGTCTGACTAAACTCAGACTAATCTCAGATTAACCTCAGATTAACCTCAGACTAACCTCAGACTAATCTCAGACTAATCTCAGATTAACCTCAGATTAACCTCAGACTAATCTCAGATTAACCTCAGATTAACCTCAGACTAATCTCAGACTAATCTCAGATTAACCTCAGACTAACCTCAGACTAACCTCAGATTAACCTCAGACTAACCTCAGACTAATGTCTGACTAATCTCAGACTAACCTCAGAATAATGTCTGACTAACCTCAGACTAACCTCAGGCTAACCCCAGATTAACCTCTGACTAACCTCTGACTAATCTCAGACTAATCTCAGATTAACCTCAGATTAACCTCAGACTAATGTCTGACTAACCTCAGGCTAACCTCAGGCTAACCTCAGACTAACCTCAGGCTAACCTCAGGCTAACCTCAGACTAACCTCAGGCTAACCTCAGGCTAACCTCAGGCTAACCTCAGACTAACGTCTGACTAACCTCAGACTAATCTCAGGCTAACCTCAGACTAACCTCAGGCTAACCTCAGGCTAACCTCAGACTAATGTCTGACTAACCTCAGACTAACCTCAGGCTAACCTCAGGCTAATGTCTGACTAACCTCAGACTAACCTCAGGCTAACCTCAGGCTAACCTCAGACTAATGTCTGACTAACCTCAGACTAATCTCAGGCTAACCTCAGACTAACCTCAGGCTAACCTCAGACTAATGTCTGACTAACCTCAGACTAACCTCTGACTAATCTCAGACTAACCTCAGACTAACCTCAGGCTAACCTCTGATTAAACTCTGACTAAACTCTGACTAAACTCAGGCTAACCTCTGACTAAACTCTGACTAACCTCAGACTAACCTCAGACTAACCTCTGATTAAACTCTGACTAAACTCTGACTAAACTCTGACTAAACTCAGGCTAACCTCTGACTAAACTCTGACTAACCTCAGGCTAATCTCAGACTAATCTCAGACTAATCTCAGATTAAACTCTGACTAAACTCACAAAAGAGAAAATGACATGTTCTGGGGGCTCTGGGCTGTAGGTTGGGTATTTTTCACTTGTTGGTCACAGTTACAGAATAAATCACTCATCGGTGAATCAGAAAACGACCCGAGCTTCACGGAGCCACTGAAAGCTAACCAAGCATCAGTGAGCACACTCTTGATGATCAGCAGTCAGTTTAATTAACACAACCCTTCATCCTGAGCACAGAACTCATGCTTCTCCTATTAAACAGCAAAGATGCAGATTTTTCCTAACAGACGTAAAAACAAAGGCCTGATCCTGATCCTGATCCTGCTGCTGGCTATAATGACCTCGCTGTGAGGTAAAGTAGAGTAGAGTAGAGTAAAGTAGAGGCGCGTACCTGCAGGTTCTTCCTCCACACATTGACGGCAGCAAAGGCGAGCTGCATCTGTTTCCTGCGGGCGTCTTTGTGCCGTTTGTAGGCGATCTCAATGAAGATGAGGAAGATCCCGGCCACGATGCCTCCAGCAACCAGCATGAACACACCTGAGGGGCACAGGTGACGAGAGACGGCGTGAAACGCTTCACAGGTAACGTCTGCTAAACGGCCATGCAGCAGAGGCAGCACTGAGTCCTACCCGCCATGTTCTCGAACGTGAGGGTGGCCGGGGCGTTGCTCCTGGAGTCGCACTCCTGGTATCGAACCCACGTCTTGTCGAGATCCTCCATGAAGCCGTTCTCATGAGAACTGTGGAGAGTCAATGAAGCGTGAGCGGACACGTATTTGATGGCTCAGATGTTGGTTTGTGCTCAGCTGTTTGTAATGTGGAGATGTGTCTGTGTGACATCCTCCACAGGTCACTCACTTATGTTTTCACGGCCCTGGCGGGGCCTCCGGTGAGATGGTCTCGTGTGGGCGTGTCCTGCCATCTCGCCCGCCTTTTTGTACTGACTCTAATCATCAATTAAGAG